CCTAATAACTAAACTTAAAAACCAAACTAGTCAGCAGCGAACAATGCCTTGTCAACATTTCTAAATGAAGCAGAAAGAAGGCAAGCCAAGAGGACAGAGAGAGGGCAGGAGAGAGAAAGGGATGCTTCCTGATGGATGAGTTCGCACAAGGGCTTCAGATAATGGCTCCAAGGCAGAGTCTGCTGCACATCGGAGAGGAGGAGGAGAAGGAGGAGGGGATAAGCCAACAGTTGCAGAAAGAGATCCCAGTGCAATGATATGGACAGAAGCAGACCTTGGAGAAATGCTGAAATCAATAGGATTTCTCTGGAGTGCTCCCTGCACACGCCACCCCCAACTCCAAGACTCTTTCCCCCTTTCAGCATGGTCATCTCTCTTTTGGATTCTGTTCCCACAGGGCCCTGCCCTTGAATAGGAGACATAAATCCCTAGCTGATAAGTTTAATATTCTTTCCCTCTCCAAGGTATTTACAGAGGCAGCAGAGACTCAGAATCCCCAAGGTCTTCAAGCTCCAAAATAAAACAACAGATTTCCAGGAGGAGGATATATTTTGGCCTGGAGAGTTTTCTAGTCCTCATCAAATCCCTCTGCATTGGCATCTGTGTATTAGGTAATATATTCTTAAATGGGTTTTCTATGGTGTTTTCTGTCTTAAGAGAAAAAGGGAGAGTTGTGAGTCCCTATGATGTCAGTTCCAGGATTAGGACCCACTCTCCCATTTCTCCTGAAAAGAGAGAGAGAAAAAAAAAAAAAAAAAAAAAAACTTTCCTCTGGCTTATTTTCAGGGCTTTAGTCAGGCTGAGCCTGCCAAGCAGACAGACCACCCACAAACTGCAATAAATAATAGTCATCTCTTCTTCTGAGTCACTTATCCACTCTATCACGCAAGGCACGTGATTAAAAATTGCAATTTCTCCCTCATGACAAGCGCAATGCCTAAATCCAGCCCCTCACAAGGTTTTTAAGAGCTCACCTTGAAAGTTCCACAAGCTGGGTTTGGCTCACCACCACTTCTCTGACGTTATCAAATCAACACTACAACAGAAAGGCGCAGGCAGAATCCCCCACACTATCTTATGTTGATCTACTGATGGTGACTGATATGAATTAGTCTCCTTGATTTTTTACAGGACCTGTGACTGAAAATCTTGCTCAATTTTTTTGCTCCACTTAAAATGGACTTCTGAAAAAATAAGTCATGTTGCCATTCTGATGTTGTTTCCCAAATATTCTACTAGTTTTAAAGTACCACCTCTAAAAAACAAGCCCAAAACTCACCTCCAGCAGACTTCTCACCTACTTCCTCACTTACACCTGCCTCATCTATTCCTGAGTCAATGAGGCCCCTTATAGGCCGTCATTAGTTGATACTGCTAGCATGACATCTACCTCACGTGAATATCTAATAAAGATGTTGAATTTATCACTTCCAAAAAATCACTCACTTCCTCACAGTTCTATTAAATACAATTCTTGAACAGGCAAAAAGAGCTTCCAATGGAGGAAAAAAAATCAAGAGTAGTTGGTTCTGAGGTGAGATTGGATGGACAGGAAAAGGGAGTGAAGAAAATATCTGGAGTGATAGGCGTGTGGTCATGTTCAATGATTCCTAGGAGTTTAGGGTTCATAAATGTTTGCAATTGCAAAATTCAGTCATTTTGCACTAAAAATTTGTGCATTTCATTTTATGTCAGTTTTTTAAAGGGATTTATTGATTTCATCCTTCCAAACATGTTTTTTCCCTCAGTAATTCTCAGTCTCAGAAAAAAAAAATCACCATTGGTTGTTAATGCCAAAATTTTGGAGTCATCTTTGACATACCTCTTCAAACCAACCCGTTAATGAATTATTTTATCTCTAACTTTAAGATATAATTGAATATAATCTTTTGAAGTGTTGTTTTTTCAATACTGTACGCCAAACCACCATCAACTACTGCCTGGGCCACTGCAAACCTCCTAAATGGGATCTTTGCTTGAATAATTGTCCCTGATGCAGCCCCCCCCCATCTCTAGTCTCATAGTCCATTCTGTACACAACATATGCATTGAATCACATTAATCATAAATCAGATCATGGTTCTCCTCTTTCAATAGTTTCTTATCAAAATTAAAATGCAATCAAAATCAGAATATATTTGTCCCCATGGATTAGGAGACACTATCTGACTCCTGCCAAACTCCCCAAACTAATTTCTAACCTTATTCTCCCGCTTCTTCCACTCCAATCATGTTGGTTTCCCTGATATTCTGCCAAGTTCATCCCTCCTTCTCCAGTCGTGGCACATTGCCAGACAAGAGCACAGCTAACTCCCTTACTTCAATCATGGTTCAACTCTAATTTTACCTTCAAGAACAGCCTTCTTTTTTAAAAAAACCTTTACTTTATTTATTTATTTTTATGTGGTGCTAAGGATTGAACCCAGGGCCTCGCATGTACTACGAAAGTGCTCTACTGCTGAGCCACAACCCCAGCCCCCCGTTTCTTTTTAACACTGATGTTTACATTTACTCTTTAACTATCAAATCCTCATTTTCTTAATTCTATTTATTTAAATATATGGAGAACAAAATTACATAACTAGATGAGCAATCCTGACTTTATTTTTACTTTTATATTTATTTATATATGACAGTGGAATGCATTTCAATTCTTATTACACATATAGAGCACATTTTTTTTATATCTCTGGTTGTATACAAAGTATATTCACACCAGTTCGTGTCTTCACACATGTACTTTGGATAATAATGATCATCATGTACCACAATCATTTATAACCCCATGCCCTCTCCATCCAAAAAACTAAATGCTGAATATTTTTTTTTGATATAAGGAGGCTGAATCATAGTGGGATAGGAAGAGGGAGCATGGGAGGAATAGACAAAGTCTAGATAGGGCAAAAGGGTTAGAAGAATAGCCTTCTTGACAACTCCCTCTTAATTAAAACTCCATTACTCTCTCTCCTTTAACCCATTTTATCTGTTTTCATAGCATTCATCATACTCTGACACCAGTTATTTTTTATTGTCTTCTGTACTTGGATATAATCCCCATGAAGTCAAAATGATTATTTTATTTTTAGCAATGTTAATATTATTATTATTATTATTCATGAGCCTACACTATAGGTGGTTAAAAATGACCACACAAATCAATGAATGGACAAAAAGTTATTCAAAAATGGTTTTCAACTTTCTGGTAGATGGTAAAAGATAGTCACTATCATTTTCTTCCCTCCCTGTACCTATCTACTCTTACTCACATCAGAGACTTCTAATTCCCATCCATTTAAATGTATGGTGGCCTCAGAGACTCGTATTAGCCAATAGAATGTGGTAGAAATGAAGTTTTGATATGAAGTGTCTAACAGCAAATTACAAGAAATCTTGTAGTTTAAATCTGAATATCTTGGAAATAACTCTTTGACTCTCTTCCTAGCCAAGAGAAGCTACATGCAAGCTCTCTAGTTAGTCCAGCTGAGCTTCCAGCTCACAGCCAGGATCAACTGACAGCCCTGCAAGTGAGCCATCTTGGCTGCTCTCATCCTTCACAGAATGCCAGGCCCAACCACTATTTAAGCACAACTGTGTGATTAATCCCAAGCAAGAGCCTCACCACTGAGAGCAGTGAACTCACAGAACCACAAGAAATGAGAGGTTCTTTTGAGCTACTAAGTTGTGTTTCTGTTATGCAGCAGCAGATAATCAGATACCCTTTAAGATATATATATTTTTTCCAACTCAACCTCTTGGTGTTCACTGTGGAACAGCCCCTGGAAATGAAGTTGAATGGTTCATACTTGAGTTAGGCCTCTTAGAGTCACTCTTCCATGCTATTATATAAGAAACCAATGAATAAACAAATAAATCAATCCCACAGTTGAGGGGCCTCTTTCTGAAAATATAAAGTGAAAAACTGACTGTGCAGCTAAATAACTTCCTAAGATACTTTGGGTGACACTCACTATACCACTTTCCTGTGGTCCCAACAGTCTGGTTAATAGGGCTTTCTTATCTATTATGGACTATTATGGACTTTCTTATCTATTATGGTCAGTAGCAACAAGGAGTTCCCATTGGTTCTTCCAAAAATGTTAAGAAAATTTATGTAGAAATGTGATATATAATTTTTGCATTTCTACCTCACAACAGAGTCCCTTCTAAACAACTTTTAATAATTCCTTTTAAATATCACTTTGTAAACACTTTTAATAATTATTATTGTTAGAGTTCATGCTATGATATAATCAGAAGTATATATATATATATGTATATATATATATATATATATATATATATATATATATATTTGTGTATGTACATTTAGTCTCTATATCAGTTCTTACCACAGAGCTCCTAAAACCCTTCTTATTTCCTGAGCAACATTGTATCAGGTGCAATTTTGCTTTAACATATGGTCCTCAACCTTGAGTCTGAACACAAAGCTCGTAATCCCTGGGAATATCCTAGGTGGTAGCAATGTATTTGGTTCCAATGATGTGACTGTTAATAAGCACCTAAATGAGGCTAGTCAGCAAGCACCTAAATGAGGCTAGTCAGCGGAAAAACCAAGCCATGGTTGGAACTTTCAGCATTATGACTTCAATTCACAAGGAAGTGGAGGGGGCCTAGCAATTGAGTTAAAACATTGGTCATGTTCACATGATTGAAAAAAAAAATCCTTGAACTATAAAATCTGATGAACACATCGGGGTGATATGCCCAGAGTGGTCATGGAAGCTTGCACCACCTCACTGGGCTCCATGGTATTCATGATCTTCGTGTTTTGTTTACAGTTTAAGGAACTTGGCTTCACCTTTCTACATTCTTTCTTGTTTTTGTTGTAACCTTGGTTGTACAACATGTTTGAATTTGAAAATTTCTACACTGTTTTCAGTTTCATGATAGTTATTTCTGGCTTACCCAAAACACAGGTGTCTGCAGATGAAGGTAAAGAACTTTCCAGTGGCCCTCTGCCAGCCGTGGTTGTTGTTAGAGTCATGCCAATAGGACAATTCTACTCATCATGTACCTGCAGGAAATGCCCAGTGTGCAGGGGTTTCTTTTGGAAATATTTTGATCGCTGGGGTATTTTGACCCTCCTGGGACATCACTGATGTTGGTGGATAGAGATAAAGGACACAAAACAATGCAGGGGATGCCTCCTATCCAGACTAGGTAGGAAAATGATAAGTATTTTGGCTATACTGCTGCCTTCTGCCTTGACTTGTGGCTCCTTCTCAAGCTGCTGGTTTTCTACCTTGCTGCACTGATAGTTCTTCGAGATGAATTAAAATCTGACTAAAATTCTGCTGCTTTATGTTGGCAAAGAACCAATGCTATGCCTGGTAGAATAGGAAAGGACTGAAGCTTGCTGGAACCAGTTGAAGGCAAGATCTTCAGGGAGAGAGTGTAGCCCTCTAGCTCAGATCTATTGAAGCCTAAGAACAGATGGGTGGCCATTACCTTACTCTATTTCTGGCCCATCAATGAGTACTGGATATCTTCCCACTTGTAACCCACAGACAACATTAATTCATCTTCCTGGGGGACCTTGTTGTCAGTGCCAACATCACTTTTATGAAGTCAGCTTTGCCAACAGTCTTGAGGAACCAACTGTTGCGAAAATTCATCTCCTGCTCAGCATTAAGAGTTGAGAAGCCAAGCTGTGAGTTGGACTTATTGATGACCTCAGAGGAAAGATGTCCCATGGTCAGCTTAAGATTGGGAAAAGCTGGAGGTAATCTGGTCCAAATCACAAGAAAATTAGAACCAAAATCCACCTGAGGAGCATATCATTACAATAGTGTCCAAAGAAATACCAGACAAAAAAATGTTAAAACCCCCAAATATTAACAAACTAATAAAAAGAAAGAAAATGCGAAAAAATAATGAAGAAAAAGATGAGAAAAAATATAATAATATGAATAAAAACGTGATGAAAAAGAAAAGAGAAAAGACAAAAATAGAAAAGATTAAAAATGAAAGAATAAAGATATTTGGCTGCTCAGGAAAAATCTATAATTAAAAATGAGGAAAAGAAGAAAAATAAAAAACATAAAGTAATAAAAAGGATAGAAAAAATTTAGAAGAAGGAAGGAAGGAAAGGAAGGAAAGAAAGAAAGAGAGAGAGAGAGAGAGAGAGAGAGAGAGAGAGAGAAAGAACAAAAGAAAGAAAGAAAAAAGAAAGAAAGAAAGAAAGAAAGAAAGAAAGAAAGAAAGAAAGAAAGAAAGAAGGTAACCAAACATTAGGGTTGAAAAGAACACCAACTAATTTTGGTCCAAGTTCCTCAAGTCATCAAAAACCAGCTTCCTATGCCAGAAGGACCAAAAGCCCATGATTACCCGGGGTCTTTCATAAGTGCTTGGGATTCCATAACAGTCACTTCTTTACAGGACAGAGGCAGAAATGGGCCTCTCATTGTTGGGACTGATATACAGGGGTTTCATCATTTTCTGGTTTTAAGAACCTTTATAAAAAAGGGGAAAATGGATTCCAAAGAGCTTTTATTTTGTTATAGTGATTCATATTTACCTTGCTAGAAATCAAAACCTGGATGATACTTTAAAAAGAAAAATGATCTGGAAATGTGGTAGCTATTTAGTAGAGAGAGAGGTCTGGATAGGCTAAAAAAAATCTGAGAAAACTTATTGAAAGAATTGGGAGTCCAGACAGGTCTTGAAGAACGAATGGGTAAAATTGGATTTGGCAAAATAAGTACAAACCACTGTCTTGGGAAGAGGTAGATTGAGAGCAGAAAATGCATTCTTATGAAAGAAAATTTTTGCTTCTTGAAACATGGAGTGGGGCTGGAGAGTAACACAAGATGGGGTTGAAAAAGTGACTGGAAGTTCAATTAGAAACTAAGAATGTGTTCCTCTCACTAAAGTATACTTAGAAATGCCATTTGCCCAATTTTAGAGTCAGTTTAGGATATAAGTTGAGTGTACCCATCTTAAAGCCACATTGTCTAGGTTCAACTTTAACTCCCACAGTTGGTAGCTTGTGTTAACTTTAAACAAGTCACTTGACTTTTCTATTTATTGTATCTAAGAACAGATAACAGTAAGAGTGACCATATAAAGTGGTTGTAAATAATATACATCTATAACAATGCTAGAACCTCATAAGCACTTGATAAAATTTGGTTAATATCATTAATTCAGTAGTCCTTCTCTTATGCACTATTTGCTTTCTGCTCTTTAAGTTACCTGTGATCACAGGGCACAGTGATGAATGCCTGTAATCCCAACAGCTCTGGAGTTTAAGACAGGATGATCATGAGTTCAAAGCCAGCCTCAGCAACAGCGAAGCACTAAGCAACTCAGTGAGACCCTGTCTTTAAATAAAATACAAAATAGGGCTGGGGATGTGGCTCAGTGATTGAGTATCCCTGAGTTCAATCCCCAGTACCCCTCCACCAAAAAAACAAAAAAAAAATTCCTTTTGTTAACCACAATCTAAGAGTATTTAATGGAAAATTCAAGAAGCAAATAATTTATAAATTTTAAACAACTTTATATAATGCAGTATTATCATTCTTCTATTTTATTATTAGTTACTATTACTAATATCTTCATGTAACTAATACATAAATTAAGCTTTATCTTAAGTATGCGTAGGAAAAATATATTATACATAGGAAAAACACATTATATACAGAATTCAATACTGCCCAAGTTTTCAGACATCCACTGAGGGTCTTGGAAGGTAGACCCCCTGGATAAGTGGGGACTAGTATATTGTGCAGTAGAAGAAAAACTTGCAGGAGAATGGTCACTTTGCCCTCCAGATGGTACTCTTCATTCTTCTGGAGTTTATTGTCAACTAAAGCATTCTGCATTTCTTCACATAACTCACTATGTCATGTTTGTTTACTGGGCCAATTATCTCGATAGCTAAATAATTCTACCCATGTTAATTGTAAAATACCCTAGACTGCAGCCTTTTAAGATTTATTTTACTATATATATTTAAAGCTGAAATTCACAAGTATTCACTACGTGCTCAGCATTGTTCCTTCTGTATTTCACATTTCAAAAAGCTCACAAGTTGCAAGAATGAATAATTCCATTGGATCTAGGAACTCAAGGCTTTACAAGTAGCCAAAATGCTCTATGGTATCTGAAAACATAAGGAGCAGAGACAGCAGTGGTAACTGTTTGTAGACTCTTATTTTCTAGCATCTGGCTCATAGGCTGGACAGTCAGAAGAACTTAGCTACTCAACATCTTCATTTTAGGGATGAGTAAACAGGTCCATGAACTTACCTAGTATCTTGCAAGTCAAATGCTTTTTCCATTTTCCTGATTCTCTGCTGTGTTATATATTTGAGATCTTACTTATAAAGATGGTCTTAGCTGGTATTTGGAGATAACAGCACTTCAATGTGTTCAATAAAGCTTCCATTAAAATAACTGGTCTCAAGGGCTCCTAGAACCCTGAACAGCATCATATTAGCCTCTTTCTTCTTCCTACTGACTCTTTAGTCTTTATCTATTCCCTCCTTTCTCCAGATATTCTCCCCTTGAACTTCATTACCGCCTCACCCAAGTTGCCCCTGGATTTTGAATATTTACTCTGAAATTTAAGACTCATGTATGTTTACTGGAAGATAATCTTTAAGAAAAATATCATGAATACATAATTTACTAGATCTTTTGAAAAGTCATGCTAAGATTGCAAAAAGCTTTGGAAATAGTTATTTAATAATCCCTCCCAAACTGATTTTAGAAAAATGTCTTTCTAGTGACTGATGATTATTAGGATCATCCTAATAATAAAATAAATAACTTTTTTTAAATCCTTCCTGACTATACCAAAAATGTAATTCTTCCTAAAGGTTATCCAACAATTATTTTAGTAACTTTCAAATGTAAGACTTAAAAAATCTGGAAAGACTACCAGGAATTGATCTAGAAATCTCAGCCCCACCTGGAGGAGGTTCATACAGTAATTTTTTCTAGGTTGAGGAAGGGGATCTCTCTCAGCTTATATGACTCAAACACCAGAGGATATAAAGGTAATTTGTGGGTAATGAGGAAGAGAGAGAATTAAAAATGAAAGGAAGCATGTCCATAAAGAACATGTTGACTTGGCCACCATAGGGTCCCTTGCTCACTCTCAATCCTGCAGGAGCTTTGGGAAAATCTCATGAGTTGCACTCCAAATCATCTTAGAGATGATAAAAGGGGACTTTCAGTTTGTGCATGCCAAGTTCCTACAAGCATGTTCTAGTGTAGGTAAAAGGCCAGGGCAGGAAAGCAGAGGCATAGAGGCATACAGCATGGCCCAAGAAGGAACACCCGCATGAAGCAGGCTCATCAATGCCTGCTGGACCCTGTAGCAAAGACCCAGTCAGCATTGATACCAAGAAGCTTTCGAGTAGAGCCCAGGAAGAGCGTGGCATAGAAGCTCAGAGACCATTCAGCTGAACCTGGTCTTTTTATGGGTAAAGAAACCATAGGCCCAAACCATAGGAATTATAGGTATGAGTGATGGCAACAGAGCTGCATTGGTAGAGATACTCCTACATCAGTAGTATCTGCTGAGTCTTTTCTTCTGCTTGCAAAACAATAAAAACCGTGTTAACTCTGATCTTTTTGAATTTAAGTTTTTTAAACAAAATTTGCAATGCCTCCAGAGGTGAAGCAGAATTCTGTTATGAATCTGTTAACAGATAGTGCACAGAGGCCCTAACCTGAACTGTGAAGCAAAGTGCTGAAACCTCAGATCCTCTCATGGAAATGACTTCTGACAACTGCACATTAAACCGAGGGCCTGAGTTTTGGAGGCAGACTGCAAGCCTTCAACTTATGGCTCTACTTTTCTTTTACATGGGTAGTACCTAGATCAAATCAAATCACTGCTATAAGTTTCAGATCCCTCCCTTATGAAACCCAAAACACTGATGCAAGGATTAAATGAACTATCGTAGGTCAAATGTGTGAGACCATGTACAGAAAGATTTCACAAACATAGTTACGAAAAAGCTACAAGCAACATGACCAGCTAAGACAAAAATTTCAATCAGTGTCAATTATTTTACAAATCTATGGGAGTTTCTTCATAATATGAGTTTTATATACACTTTCCCTCTACATCAGGTCCTTTGAACTGTTACATTCATTAAAGTAATTGAAGAATTACCATCTGATCATACTTTTTACAGACCCTATTTTATGATGCATTTTTTCTTTGCCTTCAACCTAGAATGCCCTCTGATTTCTTTTTTTCTACAGGCATTTAAATCTTGCCTGTTTGTGTTTCATCAAAATGATCTCTTTCTCACGGAATGGCTAGATCTCATTGGCCTGGCCTACAACTGGGACATGCAGATTCATGTGCCTGAATGAGCTGAGTTGTGAGCAGCTCCTTAAGCACTGTAGCTTTGGATAACCCCAGTTTAGTCAGTGGAGGAGAAGAACAAACCATCCTTTCCACAAACCTTCACTGATCTCCTACCCATACTAACCACTAAAAGACACTCTGGGGACATAGTACTGAACAAGGAAAACCTACTCTTTGACTTTATGACACTTATTATAGACTAGTGGGGTAGACAATCAATGATTGTAGTAAAACATATCTATTTTCCTACAGTGTTAAGTGCAAAGAAGAAAGAAGCATAGTGTTAGTGTTATATAATAGAAAACTGGGAACAAGGAAATGGTGAGGATTTCGACTTGTTCAGGAAAGTCAGTGGATGTGAGATCTGAAACATGATGGCAAGATGGCCAGATGTGTATGTAGGAAGGAATAAGAAAGAAAGCAGAGCTCAAATAGAAAATCAGCATATTTAGATGATGCTATGCAAGTAAAAGAACTTGTTCTAAGGAGCAGATAGAGAAAACCTAGAGGAATTCAGTGTGAGTACACAGAAAACAAAGAAAATTTGGGCCCATTTTATAAGGTCCTTAATGATTTAAACAGCAGCTCCAATAGTATATTTCTAATATAGTGTACCAATTCCACTATTATATGCAATATATCAATATTTTACTTCAATGTACTATGACCAACCATGGATAGATGACAAATAGCCAAATGTCAGAATCTAGGTGGAGTACCTCCCAAGAATTGTTAATCATAACAGGCATATTAATAATTCCTTCTTCTTTTAAGTCTGAAGTTTATACATGTATGTAACTTCAAGTTTCTAGTTAATACCTCAAGTATATATAGAGATAATAGATGGAATTATGTACAAACATATACATTTATGTTTGACTTAGAAAATGGAAACTTTAAGATTTAAAGGAAATTTATCTTTTAAAGCACATATGAGTGTATTCTATTTAAGAACTCATTTAATAAAAAAAATTATAGAAAATTTGCACACCTCTTATAATTAAGAAAGACAAGGCTTACAGATGAACACACATTTTGTCAGTGGCCAATGTCAAGCGAAAAGCAAGACATCAGGGATCCTCAACCATTATTTATTCTGCTACCCTAAAAAAATGTGGAAACTTGCTGATCCCTGGCACTCTGAATGACTGTCCCAGAATTCTGTAGTCTTGGAGTGCAGAACCTATAGATTTTATCACCTAAATTCCTTGTATGTTTCCTAGGACAACGGTTCTTATGTACACACACACACACACACACACACACACACACTCCAGAATATCTGTACACTTAGCATACCAAGAGTAGCAAAGTAAATAGAGAGCTTCATGAAAATCTTTGCTCTAATGTGATCAAAACCTTTCTCTTTCTCTAGGAAAGCATAACAAAATCCGTATCAGTGAGTGTTGTTATTACATGAATGACCTTGAATCCACTCTAATATATTCCAATAGTTAATGATAAAGCATGGACCCTGTTATGACTGGCAAGTTTCATGTGCTACCCCCTCAAAACAGGTAACAGTGCACTGGTCTGTCCTGCAAGCTCAGTTGATAACTTTTACTTTAAAGACTGCTATTCATGTTTTCTTTTATCCCCCTCTTCAGTTACCTTGCTTTCTTCTCTTTCATATCCAACCTCTGCAGAAGATTCCATCTCTTAAGTTTTGTGTTCTGATTATTATGAGAAAAAGGAAGATTCAGATGTTTTTGTTTCTCTCTTAGAAACAGACATACAGACACCAGCTATACAGACTGAGGGAATTAAGTTGCCCAAGGTCTGGGAAAAGTGTGAATCTTTTCTGTCCAGTCATGCACAAACACAGACACACAGACACACACACATACAGACACAGACACAGACACAGACACACACACACGGGGGGGGGAGAGAGAAAGAGAGAGAGAGAGGGATTGAGATTAATACTGGCTAAATAAACTCATTGCCTACCCACCTTTCTGATAAGGAAGTCCATTCAGATAAATCATTTAAGCACTGAAAAAGGTGAGCTAGGGGACAGACAGTCAAGAGAAGGCTATTTTAAGGGTCGGTTTAATTTATGAGGTTTATTTGTATCCTCTATCGTTCAGCAGGAAACCTTGTAAATGATGTTTGCATGCACTAAACTGTGATAACTGAACTGATGAGTTAAAGACTTGACTGAACATTTAATGTTGCTTATTAAATAATTATGACGAGATTTGATGAATGGCTCTGATTCCCTGAACTTCCAACTGAGATTTTCAGCATGAGTTTCATTAGACAGACATGGATGGAGCCTGCTGTAACCCAGCTGCAAATGAGCTTGCAAAACATTTGAACTAGAAACCTTCAAGTGTGAATAATTCGACTGTCTTGGTCTATCTTTCTCAGTCCCCAAACTTGTGTTTCATTTTCATTTGATGATCAAGTGGAGGCAAATTATTCTATGTCTATGGGGCTTTCTAAAATATTACTTTGAGATATTTTTATATGTACTTAATGAAAAAATAATCTGTATTCCTTATGAAAGGAAAAAAACATTTCACTTAAAATTAAAAGTCTTATTCTGATATGTCAATCTCCTTCCTTTAGGATACTAGAGTGATATATGTCCAATGCAGAAGAGAGACGTTGAAGAGAAACACTACAATTTATTGGAGCCAGTGAACTTGTTCAGCATATGTGTCAAGTTTAAATGTTGTTAATGACATAGCCCTCCACGTTTGAAACACTTCGATGCATTAGTAAAAATTTTATTAGACCATCCAACAATATAATTTCAAATGAGAAGTCTTGAAAACCAGGGATGTTTACTCTATATTTTGAACCTTTTAAATATGTGTTATATTATTATGGAAAACTCAGTGAATGAATCTACTGACAATTTGCATTTGTGTTTTCATTATTGATGATTTTTATAATGATCATGCTGAAAGTCTACTCCACAGTCAAAAGGAAAGTGGTCTGCAGTGCTGATCCAAGATCCCTAAAATTTGAGAGAGGTAGGCTACATTCAGGAAGGCGGTGGAAGACAGCAGATGAAAGTATGGGACCTAGAATTCCACTACCTGTGTTGGAATCTCAACTCTCCCTCCACCAGCTGATAAAAGAAGTGCTGGTCTGGCATCCAAGGATAATTGAGTCTTAGTTATGAATTTAAAGTGGCAAATATATACCTGAAAAATTATTGAGATTTTTAGGCCTCTGTTGTCTTAATTGAAAATGAAGCTATGAGCCCTAATCATGCTTGTATTCGAAATTATTTGATTAGAAATTATTTCATAATTTACCGAGTAGTTCTCCAGATTTAATATCATTTCCAATTACCTAAGGATATTCAATGGATCTATAAAAAGTGATTTTCTGACAAAGCGAGTTTAAAATATTTTAACACAAAATCTCAATATACAAGATTTGCTTACAATTTGCTGGGCTTCTAGTGGCTTAGACATAGCAATCTGCCTTATCATGAATCCCTGACTCATAAATAAAAAATGGGCAAAGTATCTAAATTAAATTTCTTTTTATGTTAATTCAAAACTAGTTTGGAACCCTTCCATCAATGATAGAGAAGCACTGGAGGCCGTAGATCACAAGTGACAGTGTCTCCAGATATGATCATGGCTTGGTCCTGATGTTGTTCAGCCATTCATCCTTGAACCTGTCCCTGCTGAGACTTTCTTTTCCAGCATTAATTTCCACTAGTACTAGTGAAGAAAGAGAACAGAGAAGAGGCAAGGCTGACATTCAGTAATGCAACAGAGAATAGGGTGCAACAACTTTTGCTCAGGTGTTTGACTTATTAGAGAATCTGAAAAGGTAAAAACCAGCATGCATTGCCTTGCCAAAGTGTATCCCCACAATAATTATTTCACTAAAAGTCTTTATTGAGATAGTCTTACTTTTATGTAAGTTTTAAGATAGTCTTATTAACTGTACTAATCAACTTACATAGTGGTCTTATCTATGGATTCTATAAATAAAATAAGAAATAAAAAATTTGAGATGCATAGGAATTCTTCCCCAGAGAGTACCAGACCTGGCATTCCCGGTGGCACTGGGGGACAGCAGTTAATGCACAAATTCCTGCAATACATAGTGAGCAAGTAAAATAGCCTCATTTATTGGCCTGTCATCTGGTATCTTCTAATGTCCATTTCCATCTTTTCTCCACTCTTTTTAGTCCCTGGATTAAGGAGCAAATTCAGAAGTTAAAACATAGGGATTCAAATTTAGCTCTTTCCACTATTCTAGGATCAAAGCTATACAAAGCTATATCCTTACAAACCTTCCTAATCTACTTCACATTTGTTCTTAGCTGAAAAATTATTCTCTCCAAAACCATGCCCTTAATTTTTTTTTTTTTTTTTTTTTTTTTTTTTTTTTTTTTTTTTGCATTTGGGTTCCTGACATCCAACTCTAAGATTAAATGCTGGCTTCTTCTATAACCCATAGCCTTATTTACATTTCTATTTCCCAGAAGCTGTCTCTTATGTTCCAAAATCATGGTTGTTATGACCTGGTTTTGGCTTTGGAAGTGGCCAATTTTACCTTACTATGGATAATTAATAAGTAGATAAAGTAAGTAGAACCCTTTAAAAGGGAGGGAGGAATATTGGATTAATGACTATTCAAAAAAAAAAGGTGAATTTTACAAGCTACCTGAAAACTAGTCCTGTGTGCTATTTGAAAGCAAATTAACAGATAATTAATTGGTCTGATAAAGAATTGGACATCTTTTGGGAATGACATAATTCAACCTCCTACTTCAGTACAACTATATTAAAATCATACTCAATTATCATAATCAGTTTTAATCCATCATAATAATACATATAAAACTATTTTCTCTTTTATTATGTGAATCATTGCATAATAGTCTTGATTTTGCCTTTTGACCCATAAAGACAAATGAAAAACTTGCTAACCTTGCTTCTGCTCCTATCATAGTAATTTTTCATGTACAAATGAGTCCCAGACCACCTTTTCTATTTACTTATTAATCAGCTTTTCCAAGTGTTGCTGGTGAATAGTTCTTTGGAGTTTATTGCTGGAAGAATGGCTATGATACAAACTTACCCATCATACTTGGTTGCATATTTTTTTCATAAAAGGACACGGGGTAGAAGCACCACAAATAAACACAGCAGTGTCTGTACAAGCAAGGAAGTTCATAAAAGTGATCAAACTACTAATTTAAATGCTATAATAAACATCACAATAGGTTGTTCTTAAGTCCACAATGGTTTAAATTTAAAGGGTTCCTCCTATACCTATCACCTTCTTTCTCAAAAAACAAAATTAAATTAAATGAAAAGCAGATAAGTTTTAGTACCAAATATAAAATATATATTTCCCACTCTAAATATTTACATTGAAAAATGGTTTATGCCTTTTAGCTAAGATCAAATCAAAGTGAGGCTGGAGAATGAAAATATCCAAAACGGAGCAATGTTGCATCACCAAGGAAAAAAGCTATGCAGTTAGCTTGGGCTAAACTTACAGCAACAACAACAAGATTCTTGTCCAATGTTAGTATGTGACACCCACATCAACATAACAGCAAAAAGATCAAGAGCAAGATGAGAGTGTGACTTGAGGTCGCTGACATTTCTTAAAGTCCTGAGTCAGACTTCCAACTGCCTTTGTGGAACATGGGCCAGCTATGCCTTTGAAGAAAGCAAGTCATCAATCTTGCAGAACACCAAGGCAAGGGTTACTGCCAAACTTTATCCTCTTCTCCCACATTCCACAGCCCCAAATAAACTGACCATATCATAGATAAAAAGCCCCATAAGCCAAATTTCCCACAGAGTTCTTATCTGCAAGATAAGAAACATTGTCAGAAGTATTCGAAATGAGAAATGAAAATCATCAGTTAAAATAAAGAAATCAAATTAAGCCAGAAAAATATAGTTCCAGGAAAAATTATGACACTTTAGTTGCTACAAAAATTCTGACACACAATAGATAACAACGGGGAAGCTCCAAATTTCATTTCTCTCCAAGATTCTGGGGCAAGTGCTTTAGTCTTTTAGGCAATCAATAAACAGATGGTCTCACTAGCATTCAAAACCCATTTGTTCCCCATTTGCTCTCTAAAACAAGGCAATCAGACTAAGGGAATAGTCATTCCAGATTCACATGGCTGTCGTGTGCATGACAATCTGATGTATATTGTTCTTGAAGGGTTTTTCACAGGGAGGGGTTGAAGGGGTAGTGTATTTCTGCTTCTAAACAAAAACATCATGTTTAAAATTGAATTGACCAAATCCCTTATAAAATGCTTCCCATCAGCAGATGGTTACCCCAGAACCTGGGTCAGCAGGGTGAATTAAGGGCAGCAGAAATGCTCTGACTACCACCAAGAAAGCAATGGCTATAGACCATACCAAAATATCTAACTCCAAGGCATGATCTCATAGCTCAGTATGATGGACAGGCGCCATAAAATTTGGGGGCATTGTTAAGAAAGAGAAAATATAAGTTTTGTTCTCTTTCAGTGACAATGATTTATCATATTTTGGCTTTGGATGTTCTTAGGCTCAAGCATTTTCTTTATTGACTCCAGTCTGGAGCCAAGCTCCAGACTGGCAAGAGCTGCAGAGCTTGAGGATGGCGGGAAGGCAGCCCAGGGATCAGAGATCAAGAACAAAGAAGATGGAGGTCTAACCCAGAAGAGAAATAAAGTTTTGAATTCCATCCTAGTCCATTTTTTTTTTTTCATTTTGGGCAATCCAGTTTGCAGAGTTCCTGGGAACTGGTAAAACCTCAAGTTCCTTCTTGCTACAAATCGAGCTAGCAAAAGCTGAACAGTCTTGCTAAGTTAAGCTAAGATTTAAGATTTTATTTTATTTTTTTCTTGGTTAGCATTTTACCTTTGAAATCAACCCTGTGCCAAGCAACATACCCCATTGCAGTCTATCAACAAAATGAGCCCTTTGAATTCACTCTGAAGGGACAGTTCTCCCTTCCAACATTACTTAGTCATCACAAGGTGGCTGTCACTTATTGATGTGAGAATAATAGTCATATGTGTATAAGTGTAGGTGCATCATACATACTCAGGCTGCACGTGCACGTTCCTTCCGAGGAATTTAACATATCTGTTTACTATATTATTAACCTAGGAATGGGCCAACAAACAGATCTTTTCTTATATAGACCATACTTTCATTTCACTATATGCACAGTGATATAAAATCAAAGTCCATTTGTTAATAACAGTTAAATCACTAGAGATAATCATAGTTTCTTAGAATGCTGATTCAAATATATATTTTTAATATATATTTTTAAATAACAAAAATAATGTATAGTAATATGGTTTAAATGGTGGTAATTTTCTTTTTAGTTGAGATATTATACTCAACATGTTAGAATCTTAAAGATAAACAATCTGGCCATGTTCCCCCAGATGTTGTAGCTGTACTACTATAGGACTCCAAGGTGACCTAGGTGATCTCATAAGGTCCCTTTCAAGATCTCTTTGCCTCCTCAAGGTTAATTCTATGCTGATCCTAGAACTTGAATTCAATTTAAATGGGTCTTAGAAAATTGCTGTGTGAGTCCAGGTTTTGTGGGAGCTGTGGTAAGTGTCTCCCAGAAGAAAAACAAAACACAGAATTTGCCACTGGCAAATGCACAATTCTTCTAGTAACAACAAGATTTACGATCTTACACACACATCCAGAGGGAATAATATGGTAAATAAATGAGATTCCCCATACAAATAAAGACAATAAATAGAAAGGTCAAAAGTCCAGAATGGGAAAGAAAGAAAAAAAAAGCATGTATAAGTTGGAAACCTTATAGATCTTTGAAACAGGAAAGACAAGAGAAGTCAGTAACCCCAGGGAAAGCCATAGATGATTTCCTTATCCCCCATCC